ACCCAGGTGTCCGGGGTCCCGGAACAGTGCATCCGGCTGTGTTAAGATTCCTTATCCCCGCCCGCCCAGACACCCTAGCGATGGGCTGCTTACTGTCCCTCCTGCTTTTAAGGGGGCATATTTAAACTGAATTCCATGCTGTGGGAGGGTCTGGACCGGGAGCTCTGAAGAGCAGATCCCCCCACGTATCCCCTGTGCAGTGACTCCCCACACACACACACACATGCTGCCCCCACCTTGTCCTTGAGGACACCCTCTTTCCCAGGGGATTTCAGTCTGCATGGCCCAGCCTGTCCTGGGAGACCCTGAACTTTCGTGGGATGCTGCCGATTGTGGCTGGCTTCCTGGTCTGGGTAGGGACTCAACCCAGCCAGCTGACTGCTTTGCCGAGTAGAGGCCCAGGGTAACATGGGTCACAGAGATGCTCCAAGACAGGGTGGCCCCGCGGGCTGCCATTCCAGCATCCGATTCTCACGAAGGGGACGGAAAGCAAAGCCTGATCCCAGTGGCTGGAAGGATTTTACGCCCATCCCTGCCACGGCCCAGGGCCCCGGCCTGGGAAAAGCTCATGTTCGCTCTGAAAAGTGCTGGCACCGGTACCAGATGATGGCCACCCCCAGCATCAGCCCTGGAGAAATCGCTAGTTCTCTTCCTTGAATACTGTCAAAGACTCCCAGTGCCTATTTCATTTCCCCCGTCTGCTCCCTGCTCTGCCCACACCCCTCAATCCTGACCTGCAGCCTCCTGCTATCCCAGCCCCCACGCTCCCCCCCCAGCTCTTCTGGTGTCCCTCAATCGCAACCACAGCCCCCTGCTATCCCAGTCTTCCCCTTTCTTTGCACAATCCCCATCCTCCCACTCCCACCATGATGCCAACCAACTGGATTGGCAACTGATTAACCGTCCCCTCCCACGCCTCCCACCGCAGCCAGCAGCAGCCTCGGCTGCCCAGGTGTTACACAAACATGGTGCTAATCTGACTCTAAAAGCGGATGCGTTTGGCTTCCATCTACAGAAGTTAATCATTGACAGTTTACAGCTGGGCCCCCGGGGCCAGGTGGTGTTGGTTCAGGCAGGGCCCCGTGGCACTCCCAGCTGCACCCAGGAGGGCAGAATTTGCAGCAGGGAGCAGCACCTAAAGGCCAGGCTGAAGGAGGGAAGCCGGTTAGGGGTGTGGGGACTGGGATGGGGCTCTGGGTTTGAGTCCCATCTCTGTCACAGGCTCTCCTGGGTGACCCACTTTGCTTCTCCTCTATGCCCTGGGGAGAAGGACCCTCCCTCTCATCTCAGACTGGCTGGGCAGGGGCTGTCTCCCAGGCGGTGGCCACACACAGAAGTTGTGTCCATTGCCCTGTAGTGAAAGCGATACAAATGCAGCCTCCCACGAGGGTCATTCTCCCAGTAGAAGCTGCATAAAAGGTCCCGGTGTAACTGGCCACTTTAACTATTCCTATTAAAACACCAAACATCACCCCCCTAATCGAAACAGGGGGAGCAGGTGCAAAACCTGGGTGGGGACCAGACCTCTCTAGGTGTCCGTGCCGCGCCCAGCACAACTGGGGTCTGTACCATGCTGGTCTGACAGACCAGCCACCACCTCCCCAACCTGCACCCAATTTCTGCTCGGGTCCATGCAGTGCCTGGGGCAGTGGCATCTCCCGCCCTCCTGATGTCAGCCAGGGCCTGTGCAGCGCTTGGCACGATGGACAGCCTTCCAATGTCGGCGGGGGCTGTGCCACACCTGACACAATGGGAGACCCCCTGACGTCAGCAAGGAACCTAGCAGCGGGTACCCCTTCAGTCTCAAGGCAGGGCTCTCGGAGCTACCAGGCTGGGAAAGGCAACCATTGCGAGATTCAGACAGGTTCCCATAAGCTCTCTACTGTAACCTCTGCCCACGTTCCCACACTCCTAATTTCCCTCTGCTCTCCACCTGGCGTTTTCCAGCCCACAGAGGAACATTCCTGGGAAATTTCCACCAAATCCATCCAAGATGGATTTTCCATCGCTTGAAGTCTTCAGGTCCAGACTGGCTGCCTTTCTGGAGGAGATACTGTAGCCACACACACGCAGCCGGGCTCAACACAGAGATAACTGTGTGACATTCTCTAGTCCTATACAAGAGGCCAGACTAGATGATTGAATGATTCCCTCTAGCCCTGAATCTATGAATGAAACTCAGGCTGTGTCTGTGCGACGGAGCCTGTGCTGGGATAGCCCCCTAGTGCAGACGCAGTTTATGCCAACAGAAAGGATTTTTTGGTCAGCATTGTAACACCACCGTTAGCCACGTGGGCAGAAGCCCTCTTTTGTTAGCATAGCGGGGTCTACATTGGGGATTTTCCAGCAGAGCTGGTCAGCTGAGATGTGACTTTTTTTTCCATACTCCTAACGGACATCGCTATGCTGGTATCAGTTTTATGCCGACACCAGGCCCCAAGTGCTAGACTTTCTGCTGTGCACAGGGTGGAAGGTCTTTGGGGCAAGGACTAGAACTAAGTGAAGAACTGATTTTTCGGTTCAGAAGCTGAACTGAAAAATGAAGAGATCGGTTCAGTTTGAGCCCAAACAGATTTTGTTTGTTTTTTCCTAGTAAAAAAGAAAAAAGTTCATGTTGGGGGGTCATGTTGGGTGTTTTTCACCTTTAAAAAAACAGTTACATTGCAAAACAAAATGCTGTTTCGAAATGAGAACTCAAACCATTGCGTTTGGAAACGGCTGAACAAACCATTTCAACCTTTTTGATTGCGCCCTCGCGACCTCCCACTCCCCCGGGATGAAACTATCTGCTGAATTTCACCCATCTTTACTACATGCCTCCTCCCAATTGCCCAGCTGTAGCAGGGACCATCTTTTTGGTCTATGTTTGTACAGCTCCAAGCACAATGGGGTGCTAGTCCTCAGCAAGGGCTTCTTGGGACTACTGCAAATACAACAACATACATGGCACCTAGAATTGCAAGATCTGTCCATTACCAAGCGCGTAGGCTAGATGGGGTTGCTTTAGAGCGAATCTGATTTTCTGTGGGACTCCCAGTTTACTCCAGTGCAAGAGGAAGTCAGGCCCAGGAAGATATTAAAAACGATACTATAATCAGAGTTGTCAAGGATCTCCTGGTAACCTCAACTCCCCCACACAGAGGCTAGAGGATGAGGTATGCTGTTTGCCATAACTTTAAATCCTCAGATACTATGCCCATAGGTTCTCAACAGAGCCTGTAGCTAGCACAGCTCCAGCCAACCATTCATGTACCTCGCCCACGTGCCTGCCAGTACAATATTATTCCTCATCGTCCAGTTTCTCCAGCCTCATTTTAAAATGTCCCTCCCCTCCAGAAGTCAATTCTCTGGAGGATCTCCCCATCGAACGACTGTCCTTGTGTTCAGTCAAGATTTACCCTTTCTTTAATTTCGTGGAGTTCAAGCCAGAAGGGACAATTGGATCACCTAGACTAGCCAGGCCACAGAACTGCACCCAGTTACCCTTGCATTTGGCCCAGTAAATTGAGCATCTCTTCCAGCAAGTCAGCCAGTGAATCCACCACTTCCCTTGGGAGCTTGCTTCATTCACCAGTCACCCGCACTGTTAAAAATCAGTGCCTAGTTTCTAGCTGGAATTTGTCTGGCTTTAACTTCTTGTTCTGCTCTTCTCCATTAGATTAAAGAGCCCTTTGGTAGCCAGTATTTTCTCCCCACGAAGGGATACAGACACCTTGATCAAGCGTGCTCTCGATCATCTTTTTGATAACTACCCAGATGAGTTCCTGACGTCGCTAAGGCATTTTCCCCAGCCCTCTCCAGTTCTTCCCCAATCTCATCCATAGACAACTAGTTCTAACTGCTTCTCCCACCCTAACAATCATTCCACCCATCCCAGGGGTTTAAATCTTCATCTATAGGAAGATGGTTCTTTGTTGCTCCATCTGCCACCTACCAAAACCAGGAAGATTTAGCTCTTTTTGTCTTCCTCTGGAAATCAACCCCCAGTTCACTGTGCCAATTTTTTTACCTCTCACAGCGGAACAAGGGGACAGCGAACGGCCACAAATGTAAAGCTGATACTTGGGAAAGGCTTTGTTATATACAATGGACTGTTCACCTGTGAAACTCATTGCCACAAGGTTATCCTGAAGGCCAAAGAGCCTAGCGGGATTGCAAAAAAAAAGTATTAGACATTTATACAGATAAAGGTTCTATTACACTGATTAGACAGAAGTAATACGGGATACTTAGATTGGAAGCTCATTGAGGGCAGAGACTATTTTTTTGTTCTGCATTTGGTCAGTGCCTAGCACAACAGGGTCCTTGTCTGTGGCTGGGGGGTGCCCACGCACGACTGTAAAACAAAGGATAAATACTAAGGCAGACGACAGGCTATTACTGAACTCTCACACAACTCACACAGCACAACAACGATTCTCTACATCTACGCAGAGGTTGTCACCCGAGGATCTCAAAGCACATCACAAAGTCTCTATTCCCAAGACACACATAGTGGGAGTGATTTACCCAAACCCATACAGTGAATCGGGGCAAAGCCAGGAACAGCACCCAGGACAGAGAATAGCATAACCGTGCCTTGCTCTAACCACTCCATCATGCTGCCATCCAAGTAAAAAATCCACTACCTCATGTTCTCATCCTCTCTTGTCAAACTGTCCCTTATTTAACTTGGGTGGTAAACTCCTCCGGCCAGGGGCCATGTTGTATACTCTATAAATGCTCTATAAATACGATAACAACAATTGCACTTGGCTTCGACAGCCCAATTTCATGGGAGGCTCTCAAAGCTTTTACGAAGGAGGCTCATGTAATTATCCCCATTTTACAGACAGGGAAACCAAGGTACGCGGAGGGGAAGTGATTCCCCCGAAGCCAAACAGTACGTGAGCGGCAGGACTGGAAACAGAACCCAGAGCCCTGAGTCCCACACACCCCACTCCTCCCCCAGAGCAGGATAGAACCCACCAGGCCTGACTCCCCACCCCCACTCTAACCACTCCCATCCCAGAGCCAGATCGGAACTCAGACCCCTACTCCCTTCCCAGAGGCAGGAAAAGAACCCAGGAGTCCTGGCTCCCAGGCCCCCCTGCTCTAACCACTAGCCGACATGTCTAGGCACAGAACCCTGGCCTACTGACTTCCCATCCAGAACTCTAACCACTGCCCCACTCTGCCTTTAACACATGAATGGAGCTGGAGGCATAAATAATAATATTTCACATGATCCATCTGACACAGGCCCCCCTGCTGAAACCCAACAGCAATTACTCATTTTTCTTTATTCACCAGCTATGACTGTTTTACTTAAAATAAAATCATATTAAAATATGGGTGTATATTAAAAGAATACAGATTGCTGCGTCAAGTTTAGAATGACGTTTGGGATGGCTTTGTATCATTTCACGCTAAACCAAAAGGCCCTACAAAAACAATCAAATAAAAACCCCTGCAATTGAGCAAACGTTACAATGAGTGTTACCCAGCTAGGGTCGCAAGCAGGCTTTTGGGGGTCTCTTATCGTTACTTGGGAAGGGGAGGGTTGTGCTATATAGGAGGGGGCTTCCAGAACGGAAAAGCGTGGTGCCAACTACTGGGATAAACGCTGCATGCTTTTTCTGGGTTTACTGTTTAACAAGCGGGGAGACGGGGAGTCCGGATGCCTGGGTTCTGTCCCAGTGCTGGGAAGGGAGTGGGGTCTAGTAGTTAGAGCAGTGGGGGCTGGGAGTCAGGACTCCTGGGTTCTATCCCAGCTCTGGGAGCAGAGGAGGGTTAGGGCAGGGGAGCTGGGAGGCAGGACTCCGGGGTACTGTCCCAGCACTGGGGAAGGAACGGGGTCTAATGGTTTGGGCAAGGGAATCTGGGAATCAGGGCTCCTCGATTCTATTCCCAGGTCTGCCACTGTTAGGCATTGTCGAGAAAGTCACCTCCCCCTGCTCTGTCCCCATTTTACCATCTGTAAAATGGAAATAGCAAGGCTGACCCACCCCTCCCACAGCAAGAGCGCTTGATGACAGAAGAGCCAGCAGGAGGCGCTGCAAGTTGTAGCCAAGCAGGCGTGCCCTTTGCCAGCTACGAATGCGCTAAGCGTGGTGAACGTCCCTCCCCTCTGAGTGGCTGAGAGCACTTTTCACGCGTGGATGGATCTAGGCTCCTGAGAAATGGATCAGATTCATTATTTCCATTTTACAGCTGGAGGAACTGAGGCACAGAGCAGGGGAACTGGCTCGCTAAACGATATGCAGCGTAGTCGTGGCAGAGCTGGGAATGAAACCCAGGAGTCCTGATTCTCAGCCCCACCCCTGTTCTACCCACCAGAGCCCGCCCCTCTGTGAAAAAGTGATATTTTGCCTCATTACACACATACGCACACAAATTTACTTCTCAATTTTGCTCTGAAATAAATGGTCAACTTTTGCAACACTCAAAAACAAGAATGAAAACTTTCCTGCTTAAATAAAATCAACAGACCACCAGTATGTAATGAAAGAAGCTCTCTCCACCAATCAGAAGACGGTGCAATGCATTTCCAATAATTCAGAATATGAATGAAGACCCTTTTAAGACAATCTCTTTAATAAAGTCAAAAATCAGAAGAGAACATCAGATTGCCCCCCCTAAAAATATAATAATACAATAATTAAGAGTGTTTTAAGCATATACATGACATCACAACACGTTGCCATGGGAAACGACATTATGTATTACAAGATCAAAGATGCTGAAGCAAAGTGGATCTACAGATCCCTGGTTTTTAGCAAGGTGGGGGGAGGAAAATAAGGGAGAAATGGAGGGGCTACAGACACGAAAAGGACAACACTGTTCAAAGACATAAGACATCCCTACAAACACCCCAAGTCAGCCATTCCCCATTTTCCAGTCCACACAACTGAGCATTTTTCTCCACGCCCCACCATCATAACACTTTAAAAAAATAATAATTAAAAAAATATCAGATCTGGGGTTTTTCACTGCAGGGTTTTTATTTATTTAACACGGGGAGGAAAATTTTAAAATAATAAATAAATAAACCCAAACCCTTCTGCTCACACAACCATGAATTAAATACACATATTACCCACTATGACTAAAAATCAAACAGACCTTTTGCCAGGGCTTAAAATGCATGTCTCATTCCCCACCCCCACCGCCCCAAACACAACCAAAGCCTAAAATTATAGATCTATATAATACACATTGGAAATTTGATTCTCTTACCCACACCCCGGCCTCCCTATTTGCAGGAACTACATTTAAAAAAAAAAACCCCACATCCTTCCGAACAAATAAATGAAATATTCCTAGATCACAATATTTTAAAATTCACCATCACAGCATCTTCTAAGCACTCTTTTCCTGCAACACACACACACAAATCAAAATCCAACCCAAACAAACATACAATGGATATAGATCATGCCCAGATACATACTGTCCAGTTGCGAACCTTCTTGCAGAAGCTGTCTGCTGGTGCATATATTTATGGAATCAAAACAGTAGGGTTTATTTTGTAGAAAGAAACATCCCAGATGTGATCTGTAACCCCCCCCGCCCCCCACCCCCAAGCACCACTGGCTTCCCCTCTGCCAATGCTGTAGGCACCGGACAACATGCAGGCGAAAAGGTATGTTGAAAATGCTTATCTATGGCCCAACTGCTTGATCCTTTCAGCCCATCTCAATGGAAACCATGGGATTTTTGTGAATGGAGGGTCACATGACCCAAGCTAGGCTCTTTGTCCCTCTCCCTTCAATAAACAACAGGTGAACAAGAAAAAAAAAATAATCCAAGATATATAGGGGGGAAAATATAGTCACAGGATGTGTCAGTTTCACTCCACATCTCGGTTTTAAACAGTCACCAATTCCCACTGTGTGACAGTGCCAGATTTAAAGGACCCCCTTCCCCTCCCTACATCCCCCTCCCCAACCAAAAAAACTGACATGCCAAGAAGGGAAGGAAATTAAACCCACCATGATGGATCCTCTAGGTGAACCCTGTCTTCTTTTTTTTTTTTTATGAATGAATCCAGATGCAAATAGGATTGATTCACAAACAAATACCCTTCACATCCCCCCCCCCCTTTTAGGGAGGGGGGACATCTAATTTCATTCATAAAAAAAATCATAATAAAATGGTTTGGGCTTTAAAAAATGATTAAAAATAAAAGAGGATGGAGAGAAGAAATTAAATTAAAAACAACAGCAGCAGCTGGGAAGAAGGAGAATGGAGAAATGAAAGCATGCAGGATGTTTTTAGAGATGTCATTTTATTTTGCCTCCTTAAATGAAAATTATTATTTTTTTTAGGCAGCAAAACAAAATTTTAAAATCTCAATTGTTTTGCCAAAAAAAGGGGGGGCATAAATTGGGTTAAAATATCCCCCCCCTTTTCTTGCTTTTATGGGGATTTTTTTTAATGGGGGGGGCAGATGGTAAATGAAGACCGACTCACTCTAGTTCCATGGCTGGTGCAGGTGCTGTGTGTGTGTGGCTTGTGTGTGTTTTATATGGTGGTAGGAGTTTCAATTTTTTAAAAATTTCTTTTCTTTTTCGTTGTTCATCATTATAAAGAGAATGAAGATCCAGCAGCCATTTTTCAGCAAGTAACATTTCTAATCCCTCCTCCCCCATTTTTTCTACCCCCCCCCCCCCCTTTTCCCCCCCCCCCCCCCATTGCCAACCCACCCTCCCTCCCCCCCACTGCACCTGCCTTGGTTAATACTGACCACAGCTGGGGGCCTGGACTGATTTCTTACACCGGGAGTGGAGAACCAGGAGCTGGGGAGAGAAGAGAGAATCCAAAGCTGAGCTGGGAAAAGGGAAAAGGAACAGAGAAATGTGGATTCCACTTGGTCCTAATGCCCCTATAGGATTAGGGGAGGAGAAATCAAAGCGCCTGAACATTAATCATCAGTCGATGGTTACGGAGATAAGAGGACGTGGGTCGGAACCGGGATCAGAAGAGCCTCAGGCAGATTGGCAAGCAAACCCAGATCCAGTGCTGAATTTCTCGCGTTGTCTCTATAATGGGCCAGAACCAGAATCCCAGGTTTGAAATCGAGGGAGGACCAGCACGCAAACCAAGATCCGATCCCAGTCTCATCTCTTGTCCCACTGAGCCCAAGCAGAATCCGAGATCAAAACTCTGGGGAGGATCCGCACGCAAACCCAGAGCCAATCCGAATTCTAATGTCCAAGAACATGTTGGACAAACACCTGTCAGGGATGGTCTAGGGTTTCCAAGGTCCCTTCCAGCCTCACATTTCTATGATTCTATATCCCATCCCAACCAGCCAAAGCAGAATCTCAGGTCAGAACAATGGGAGGGATCAGCTTGCAAACCCAGATCCAATCTGAATTTCACAGCTTGTCTTGTTCTCTCTAACTAGCTGGTACCGAAGCACTAGATCCAAACGATGGAGTGGATCGGAATGCAAATCGAAGTCCCAATCCAAATTTTGTATGTCATCTCCAGCTCTAGCAGGCCAGAACCGGAACTGTGGCCCGGAACATGCCTGAATCGGGGGTTAGATCGGAATTAAATTTCTCATGCAAGAGGAAGGACAGTCCTGCGGGTAAAGAACTGACTGGGACACCAGCGCTCTGGGTTCACTGCCCAGGCGTTGCTACAGACTTGCTGAAGGACAGCGGGTATGTGCTTAAGTAACTTCCTGCGTCTGGGCTTGTGTGTGTGCGTCAGTTCCCTAGCTATAAAACCGGGAGAGTGAAGCTAAGTCCCTTCAGAGAGGGAGTGTGAGGATAAACCCATCAGTGTTTCTGAGGCTTGGTTACTATGGTGATGCCAGAGAAGAACCTACCTTGATCCTAATTTTGCAACTCATGAGCCAAACTGGTTTTCCCAGCGGTGGGAAAGTTTGGTTCTAGATCCAGGCTTTGCGCCTAGGACCCTGGTCTCCAGCTCCTGTTATTTTTTTTCAGTTGATCGATTTAGTATTAACCCAGATTCTCAGCCCCTCAGGGAATTTAAATTCTAAAAAAAAAAAAACAATCCCCAAACCCTCTTTTCTTTTAAATGCACAAGAAGAACAGGAGGTTTGGTTATTGCCACAACAAGGGTTGAAACCCCGGGAGAGGGATAAATGAGTGGGACTCGATGTTCCTACTGGGGAACCACATGGATTCACAGGTGTGTGCTTCGAGGAGGCAAAGGATTCAGCCTGGCATTTAACACTGCCCGGGACAATCTGGCTATCTACCCACGGTGCTTATACGAGGAGGCAGGAGACCGGGGTTCTATTCCTAGCACTGGCCGGCTGAGTGACCTTGGGCAAGTCACTTCCTCATTCTGTGCCTCAGTTTCCCCATCCGTAAAATAGGGATAATAATGCACTTCACAAAGCAGATCAGTATCAGCATCTACTGATAAGGGTTAGGGATTATTACATGTTCCTCCTCTTCCTAACGGTACCTGCGCACCTCACAATCTTTAATCTTGTTAGCTCCACAATGCCCCTGGTAGGCATGACAGAGCTATTATCCCTATTGTACAGATGAGGAAACCGAGGCACAACAAGGTTACAGCTCAGATTTTAAACGGTGTCTTAATGCCTTGCAGATTCAGGAGCCTGTATCTCATTATCGTGTTGGCACTTAGGAGCCTATATCCAGTCCTCTAGGCCTTGCAACACCTAAATACCTTTAAAAATCTGGGTTTGAAGGACCTGGTCAAGGTCATACAGGCGGTCTACAGCAGAGCAGGGAATCCAAGGCCGGCCTCCCAAGTCCCAGGCTAACGACTTTCCCCAAGCAGCTGCACTTTCCCTGGACCTACTGTCCCAGGTGTGGCTCCCCAGCCCAGCCAGCATGCAGCTAACGCCTCACCGCAGTTAGCAGCTCTGCCTGGCCAGATTTAGGAGCAAGCTCTGGTCTTGGCTGGGGTGGAAAGCTTCTCTCCATGGTGCCCTGGGGGCTGCATGGGATGCGGCGAGGGGGCAGGGGCAGCAGGCTCATTGTACGGGGGGGGGGGGGGCGGGGAAGGGGGGGGGGGGGGGGGGGGGGGGTTGGGGGGAGGGGGGGCAGGGTGTAGTTGGCTGGAAGGGGTGGATTTTACACTGTGAGAGGGCTCTCCTGTCCCTGGTGCCCAAGGAAGGGCAGATGCAGGGGGACTGCACTGGACTTCAGGGGGGTCAGTCTCATTGTATAGGGGGATGCACCTGGTCCTGGGATGGGGGTGTCTGTACTGTGGGGGAACAAGAGGGGGTGCACCTACCTGGAAGGCGGGAGTCATCTTCCAGGAAGGGCAGACAGATGCGCTGTGCTGGTGGGGAGGGGCAACGTCTGGCATTTGGGGAGAGGAAATACTTGGGGGGGTGGAGGAAGGAAGATACTGGGGGGAGGTCTGCATCTGCCCCCCCAGGGAGAAGGTGCTCCAGGGGATGCCGTGGGTGGGGAACACTGGAGTTGAGCAGGAGTCACATGAAGGGCAACTGTGCCCCTCAAGGGGTGGGGAGAATACACGGGGAGGGCAGAGGCTGGCTGTGCCCTGGGGGCTGCATGGAAGGGGGGCACTCTAGCCTGGGAGGGGGTTGCATGGAGGGGGGCTCTGAGGATGGGGGGGGGGGG